CAGAATACATATCCAGTGTTGCTTGTGTGGTCAAGGATCTGAGACTAGATAGGCCAGGGACTTATGGGAAAACCAAATACTGTTCTGCTAAAGGAACATAGCAATAAAATGACTGCTAATGACATTCTGCTGTACTCATATGAGTGTCTTACTTAGCCATCATCAGAAAAACTTTCTCCTTCAGTAGATGGGAACAAATACAGAGACCTACTCTCTCACAGTGTGCAGAGAGTGAAAGACTGGGTAGAACACTCAGTCCTATTGGGATGTCTCCATCAACTCCCCTCCCACTTCAAGGCTCAGGCATTTCTGTGAAAGAAGAGATGGAAAGATGCTGGGGAAATAAAGCACAACAGGACAGACACACATATGAACTCATAGGAACTGTGGCAGCAATCACAGGGCCTGCGTGGGTCTAAGTCAGATGGGTCCCAGGGCTGAGAGGAAAAGTAGACACAAGCCCCCATTCCTAACTCAGAACATATCTCCAACTGATAAGCACTCGCAGAGGAAAAATTAGTTTTCCCTAATGAAGTCACACTTGGTATTCAAACTACATCTGAGGGCAGGCCCTGTGACCAGCAGTGGATGGCCAACACAAAACAAACTCCATGGCATTTTTGGAGGATTTTTTTAGCATTCCATTTTGCTTATGTATTATGGTTTCTGATTTTGTGTCTGTGGGGTTTTTGTTTGTGTGTACCAATGTGCATATCTCAGCATCTGTATGTATTTCTTGTGCTTTTTCCTTGTCTCTCGATTTCTCTGTTTTATTTTCCCCATTCTGGTTGGGTTTTTTTTTTTGTCTTGTTGTTGTTGTTGTTATTTAGATGCCAGTTTGTGTTCTAATGAGAGAGAAATAAAGAGTGTGAATTTGGATGGGTGGGAAAGTGGAGAGAACCTGAGAGGAGATGGAGGGGGGAAGCCACAATCAGAATATATTGTATGAAAGAAAATCTATTTCCAATTTAAGAAGTAGAAGAAAGATGAACTTCAAGGTAAGAACAACCGAGAAAAATTGTCTTTGCTGTTTGCTTATTGTATTGATTAAGCTGCAGCATAAATACTATTTGGCCCCCAAACCTAGACCTGTGCCATGATGCTGTTCACAGTCTCTGCAGTGGTCCCCTGAGGCCAATAACATGTATCCATGTTTTTCCACCGGGAAGCTGAAACCCAGCAAGTATAGGAAGCAAGCCTGAAGTTCTAGCCTTAGCTCATTAAACACCAGAGCCAGAATTGTAAAGTCAATATTCCCGGGCCCCAGACTAGTTCTGCATTGACTAAGTAAAGCCTGGCACTGAGGTCTATAAAATAGTCAAAAAACATAGATCACTTGTTAAGTATAAAATTTGTGTGTTTGGTACGTGAGTAGGGAAGTTATATGAGAGAATACCCAGGCAGATCTTGGGGAAACTACAGTAAGGGTTTACATATTTGTGTGCTGCCTCAACTGACTCTCAAGGTCCTTCTGGTCCTCTGATTCTTGGATTTTGCTAAAAGCTCTAGTCTAATATAATGACCGGCAAACAGCCTGATGGCCTTATCCTTACTTATCTTTATCTTGTAATTTCATTTTTCCCTTCCAAATGTATGAGTGTGTGTGCACACACTCCTGACTGATGAGCTATAATTCTGGCTGTATAGATTTTACTTACACTTTTATACATGCGCTAACTCCCAGTGACACCCGGGGGAGCCATCTTTAGACCGTCTTGATTAGCAGATGTTGCCCTTGCTATGTAATAACAATCTAATCACCGCTTCCCCTGGCCAAGAAATGAGAACAGCATCCTCGTTTGGAAAGCAGCTCTAACACATGAAGTGGATTAAGAAGGGCTGTCTCCCCAGAGTCCCTGTAAGAATTCTTCATATCGTAGTTTGTTTTTCTTAACGATAAAAACTGCACAGTGGTGTTTGGAGTTCATTCTAACAAGCGCCTGGCTTGCATGATAAGATTTTACTTGGGCTGCCTCAACTTTTTTACATGTAAATTATGTTGTAAGAAATCTTGGGCATGGGATGATGTGTGTCGCCCGTGTTTATTTTCCTCTACTTGAGAATATTTCATTTATTTTTTTTAAATGGCAAACTATGATGGGTGGGTACTTAACATGCAAAATAATGATATGTTCCCAAGAACCCTGGGAAATGTAGGAAGGTGGCTCACATCTGAGCACCTCTTCTCTGGAACAGAGAGTTGGACTCAATGATGCGTTTAAGAAAAACTCCAAGTGCATATTAGTTCTTAGTTAAACTGGTGTAGAAGTGGCATGTATTCATCCTGGGACTTGGCGCTTTCCTGGAGCCTTCTGAGACATACCAAATCACTTGGACAACATTTCATCTTATAAAAGTGATGTCAAACTGTCTTTCAAAGTGACAGTTTCCTTTTCTCTTAACTCCCACCAGCAAGAATGGGAGCTGTTTGCTTCTTATCCCTTGCCAGAATTTGGTGTTGCCAGTGTTCTGCTCTTTAGCCATCCTAGTAGATGCTCAGTGGAATCCCATTGTTGACAATCTACAACTCTCTTTTATAGATGGTACCGAACACCCAGTAATATGCTTATATACTCCTTGTATATATTCATGAAGTTTCCAAAATTTGGCTCGCTTTTAAAATAAATGATTTTCCTGCTGTTAAAAAAAAAAAGAGGTTATCCAAGAAAAAGCTCAGATTACAGTGTCTGTCACCCTGGTTTTTCAAGACTGGGTTTCTCTGTGGCTTTGGAGCCTGTCCTGGAACTAGCTCTTATAGACCAGGCTGGCCGCAAACTCACAGAGGTCCACCTGCCTCTGCCTCCCGAGTGCTGGGATTAAAGGTGTGCACCACCACCACCCAGTTCTTTCTCCTTTTGAGACAGGGTCTCATATAGTTCAGCCTTACCTGGAACTCACTATGTAGCAGAGGTTAACCATGAGCTTTTGATTCCCTTGCCTCTGCCTCCTGAGTGCTGGGAAGGGAAATGGTGGGAGCAGGAGACAGTGAGGCAGAGAGGGTGTTGATCTCTACTAGAGACGGCCGCTTTCGCTGTATCATGGAAAATGAGGAGCTTGGTAATGATGCAGATGCACTCAGTGCCCTTCCATTCCTCTAATTATCATAGTAACGGCATCCAAATACATCATAGGCCTTGTGAGACAATGTTACTGTTTTTACTTTATAGAAGTAAACACTGAAAGCCTTTTAAGGATGTCTAGGTAGCTACAATTTAGGATACTATGATTCCTCCCTGTGGGTTTAAGTTTCCTTCTGATTTGATTCCCCATTAGCCTGAGGTCACAGTATACCTCACAGAGCAGCATAGCTGGGGACTAATTCTTCGTTTTATCTGAAATATCTTGATTTCTTCCTTCTTTGTGTTTTGTTTTTGTTTTGTTTTGTTTTTCAAGACAAGGTTTCTCTGTAGCTTTGGAGCCTGTCCTGCAACTAGCTCTTGTAGACCAGGCTGGCCTCAAACTCACAGAGATCCTCCTGCCTCTGCCTTCTGAGTGCTGGAATTAAAGACTTGCGCCACCACTGCCCAGCTGAGATCTTCATTCCTGAAGGAGATTTTCATTGGATTTAGGACTCTTGGTTGACAGAAATGTTTTCTCAGCACTTAAAAGATGCCATACAACTGTCTCCTGGATTACCCATAACTTACTTTTCTAGTTAAAAACTTGTAGTCCTTAAAACTGTACGTGTGCACGTATATGCATATTCTGAGCTTTTATGGCACTTGATAAACTTCTTTAATCAGTAAATTTGTTTCACTAAATTTTAAGGATTTTCAACAGTTTTTTTCAAATCTGTTTTTCCACTTAACTCACTACTTCCACTTTGGTAGTACATTAGACCTCTAATGCTGGCCACATGTCCCTAGATCTGAATCTCCATTCATTTTTCAAATATTTGTTTTTCTTCTACAGGTTGGATAATTACTGTTTATAAGTTTACTAATTCACTATTTTTTTTAAAAGACAGTGTCTCACTTTGTAGCCCAGGTTGGCCTTGAACTCATACAAGATCCAACTTCCTGAGCCTCCCAAGTCCTAGAGTTATGAGTGTGTACCATCATGCCCCATTGGTTAATTAAGTGTTCTTGCCTATGTCATCTCTCCATTTTGCTGTTAAATACATATGGCAGAAATTGTTTGGGATTTTGTGGGTTTCTTTTTTAATGCTTAGATAAGTTTTATAGTTTTAGAATTTTCATTTTTTATAATTTTTCTCTTATTATTATTTGAGAAGGGGAAGAGGGAAGGTGCATAGCACATCACACATGCAGAGGTCAAAGGACAACTTTCAGGAGTCATTTCTCTTCTTTACAGGGGAATTCAGGAATTGAACTCAGGCCATCAGGCTGCGTGCCAAATACTTTAACCCAGTGAGCCATCAGGCTAGCCTTAGAACTTCCGATCATAAGAGTTTTCTGTTTCTTTGGTGAAATTTTTTATTTTTTAATTGGTTACCAGCGTATTTTCCTTTGTGTCTTTGAGCCATATATAAGGAAGCTACTTTGGCATCGGATTGTTCTGACAGCAGGGGGTGGAGTCCCTGATGGTCTCTTCAGGGGGTCACATTTGTACAAGCGTCTCCTAGCAGCACTGTGGTCTGTGCTCTCTCAGAACGGGGCGCTCCCCTTGATTAGATGTACAGGGGAAATGGGGGTGTGGTAGGTGGTAGCCCAGGACTTCATCTCCTCCTGTCTGTGGTCCTTCATTTGTACACTAAAACTATATTGTTCTCCAGAGGCAATTAACCTACTTCATAGGACCCAGAAGATTGGTTTCATGTATTAGGTGGTAGATGCTGTTGTTTGGAAGATATGTGGTCATTTGATTTTAATATTTTTCTTTTTAACCTCAGATTGCATCAAAAATGTATCAAAAATACTCCATCTCTACTCTTCTCTGGGGTTTTTTGAATACATTATGTTACACAGTATCAGTAACTCTAAATAACCTTATTTTCAACCCAACATTACATCTAAGATGCGCTTTTGTTTGTCTCCTAGGAAAAAATGCTGCAAAGGATATAAATTTGTTCTTGGACAGTGTATTCCAGAAGGTATGTAATTTAATAGATGATTTCACCCTCCCTTTTCATGACTAACGATTAGAGGCTACAGTGTTTGGGTGCACATGGAATGTGTGTTAGCTGTACATACATTGTGTGTCTAGTTATGGAAGTCATCATAATTCCCTTTTTTAATGATCGGACTCTATGGGGTGTGCTCTGTGAGAATCACCAGCATGCTCAGATTTTAGGTCCGTGCTTAGCAAACTGGCATCGCATGCACTGGTTGTAACACGATCCACTTCATGAACTCTTTACCTGCTCTCCAGCAGGAAACTTCAAGCTCCTTTAGAGGACTTTTAGCAATACTAACCAAATACACAGTCCTTCCTTAAAATTAGAAAGGTTTCAGGCTTGGCCTGATGTTCCTCTAGGCATATGATTCAGAGTAAAGAGACAGCAGGTAGATTACACTAGACAAGATGAACAGATTTTAATTATATTTTAATGTGCTACTTAATAGGATCTTGGGTAAATTACATTTTAAGCCTTTCTCTTTTGTTCATTATACCAAGTTAAATGAATGTTTAAAAAATATTGCTAGATATAATTATACATGTGGCATTTAAGCTCACTATAAAAACACTGTGTGATGAGTATGTATTTTTGTCACCAGTATTTTATAAGAGAGAAGACAGAAACTTAAAGACCCCAAGTTAAAGCTGGGGATAGTGGTTCACGCTTGTAATCCCAGCCCCAGAAAGGCTGGGACGGAAATTCACCCCAAACTACAGCCAATCTGGGCTACATAGCAAGACAACAAAATCCCTCTACATTCATTAGTCCAATAAAAAAAATCCCTAGGATTGCCCTGAGAATCAAGTTGAGTATCAAGCATCAAGTGGAGAATCAAGCACCATGCTGAGCAGGTGGGGAATATGGCTGCTCAATTAAGAAGGAAGAACATGTGAATCAAAGAGAAGAGCCTTGTGGGTATTGATGAGACAAACTAGACCTTGTTGAGGGTCGAGAAAGACTTGCCATTGACAATGTCACTTGAAAGCTATATAGAACAGTGGTTCTCAACCTTCCTAATGATATGGCCCTTGAAGATGGCTTCTCATGTTGTAGAGACCCCCAGCCATAAAATTATTTTTGTTGCTACTTCATAACTGAAATTTTGCTACTGTTATGAATCATAATGTAAATATCTGATATGTCCAAAGGTCTTAGGCAATCCCTGTGGAAGGGCTGTTCCACCCCCAAAGGTTGAGAACCACTGCTCTCAACTCTCAATCCTACAGCACTGAGGGCAAATATGGAGTAGCTGGCTGGATTTCATTGGAGGTGAAAACTTGTGTGGAGATAAGAAGTGTACTATTACACAGAACAATGAAAAAGAGTTTAGGCTTTCAAATTCTTTGAACTCATAAATGACTGAGAAGTTTGGAAAAGTCTCAACAGCTATAATGTCAGATCTCAAACTCAAGACCAAGCCATGGTTTAAAGGTGACGAATGCAGGCTGAGCACTTCTCGTCCGAAATGCTCAGTGCCAGAAATACTTCATGTGTCAGAGTTTTTGGATAGGGAAATATTTACACAGACCTTACTGTTTGAACATCCCTAATCTGGACATCTGAAAGGCTCCAAAATCCAAAAACATCACGGAACTCAGAATGTTTGAAGTTTTAAGATTAGAGATTCGTTACGTTATGTAGAAAGCCTGGCTTAGTTGAGCAAGGACGGAGCCACACGATGCTCACCTTTGCAAGGGTGGCTGGCAGCATTATATCCAGTGGATTTAAATGTGAAGAATCTTGGTTAAGATGCTGTTTACACAAGAGTGTCTGAGTCTGGATTAGAATAATGCCAAGAGAAACAGAACCGAGACGAGAGAAAGTAGATACAATTTAAAGATAGAAGCTGCATGACCGGAAGTGGGTTGGCTCTAGAAAACAAACATCAAAGGGAGAGGACTGAATAAATTCATTTACCTTTGCTCCCTTCAGAAGCCTACAAAGTGGAAAAGACATAAATCCACAAGATCCAAAGGAAAGAAAGAGGAGATATCATCAACAAAATGTTGGAAGCTAGAGATCAGCCCTGGGGGTGGGAAGAATCTTAGCAGAATAAAGAGAATGAAGTCATAGCCACCACCAGGAAAAGCCAGGGACAACTGACCTCATAGTAAAACAGACAGGCAGGAGCGCTAGATATTAATAAAGGTGAAAGTGGTAGCAAAAGTAGAAGGGGCTGGGAAATGGCTCAGTAAAGTTCTTGTGGTACAAGCATGAGAACCTGGGTTCAGATTCCCAATGCCTACATTAAAATGCCAGGTGGCATAATGTCTGTGACCCCAATGTTTACAAGGACAGAGGTAAGTGGGGTCTGGGGACTCACTGGCCAGCAAGCCTGCCAGATTTGGGAGCCTCCAAGTTCAGCAATAGACCCTCTCTTAATAAACAAGGTGGAGTGTGACCAAGAAAGACACCCAATAGTGACCACGGACCTCCACACACATGTGTATGCCAACCAACAAAAACCAACAAAACCAACAAGAAGCAAAACCAGAAAGAAAAGAACTGGCGAAAAGCCAAAGAGATTGCCCTCCTAAATCTTGTTCTGTCTCAGACAGAATACTGACCCTTGCCGTGACACAAAGCTGGAAGATGACACTAAGGTAATTTCCCAAGAACTAGACCAAAAATAGCAAAGGAATGAAACCCAGGAAGGAACCTGAAAACTGTTAGACATCCACCCATGTACCTCATGATGCCGCCCAGAACAATCAACAATGATGGTGGGAAGCATCAAAGACGCAGTCCAGAAACTTCTCCAGACCTGGAGGAATCCATTTGCATTGGGCTGTGTAAGCAAGCCTGTAGGGCATCTTCTTTTATTATTTTATTTTATTCTAGTTTTTTGAGACAGGTTTTCTCTGTGTAGCTTTGGAACCTGTCCTGACACTCGCTCTGTAGACCAGGCTGGCCTCGAACTCACAGAGATTTGCCTGCCCCTGCCCCCTGTGTGCTGGGATTAAAGGCGTGCACCACCCTTTAAGGAAATGCCCGGCTGCATTTCCTTAATTAGTTATTGACGTGTTTCTCAGGGATGCTTACCACCCTGGGCTGGTGGTCCTGGTTTCTATAAAAGGCAGGCTGAGTCAGCCATATGGAACAAGCCAGTAAGCAACACACCTTCATGGCCTCTGCATCAGTTTCTGCCTCCAAATTCCTGCCCTGTTTGAGTTCTGGTCTTGACATCCTTTGATGATGAACTGTGATGTGGAAGGATAAGCCAAATAAACCCTTCCTTCCCCAAGTTGCTTTTGGTCATGGTATTTCATCACAGCAATAGAAACCATGACTAGAACAGTACCTCTGGATGGACCCCAGACCTCAGAGGCACTAGATGTACTAGACAGTCAGAATTGTTGTTCTGAACTCAGAGAACACAACCCATAGATCTGGAACCCAAACATTGGGGTGTGTCTGGTGCTAGCATATCTCAAATAGAGTATAACGAGGTTGATTCTGCAAGTGGCAGGAAAATGATACAGCAGCCTTTCTTACCGCTGTTGAGACACTATGTTAATGTGTGGAGGCACAGATGAGACTCCCAGGAAAAGAAGTCCAGACAGCAAACAGGCATGCACAGCCCTCCTTCCTCTTGCAACTCCCTATCTTTGTGTTTCTATGTCCATCTTCATCATGTTCCTCCCCCTTCCCCAGCACCTCTTCCTGACAGCACCTAGTAGGCCAGTGACTACCAAAATAAAAATGGTCGAAGACCCAAGTCGTAAAGCAGTCCACGGAAAAGGAAGAGGCACAGATTTGAACTCATTTGCAACTCCCAAACATACACCAGGGTTATCTTCATTTGGGGGAGGCAAAAAGTGGGCGTTCCCAAAAAGATACATAGTCAGAGTTCATGTCTAAGCTCAGTAGAGAACAGCTTTCATATTGTCAATTTGTTGTAAACACCGAAATCCTATTCAACTAAAATTCCAAAGAAATCACTGACTCAATGGAAAAATTTAGAAGGGCGTTCAAGGCGTGCGAGGAGGTGATGAAGACTCTTGCATGATTGGAAATGAGCAGAGAGTGCTGAAAATAAAGACATGATGTGAGCAGGCCATTGTGAGATGCAGAAGTGAATAATATGAGAAACACAGCCCACCAGATGTGCCGGAAGTGATACCCCAGGGAAGCGGGGACAGAAGGGGACACTGGGCCGATGGCTTCTCAAAGCGGCCTCGCCATGGTTGATCCAAGTTCTTTAGGCAGGCACTCTGCTTTCTTCTTCTCTCTGGTTGCTGCCCAGTTGTGGTGACCACTGGGAGGAAAGGGTTGCTCACCAGCCATACTGAGATCCTGCTCTCCAGCCCAAAGAACCTAGAATTTCATTCAGAAAAATCCTATATAACCAAAAACCACTTGCAAGGCTGATCAGAACCGGTGCAGGCAGAACAGACCTGGACTCACGTTTGTAGGAAGGAGGGCTTAGTAAGGGCAATTTTAGGTCATCCTGAGACTGACATGATCCTTGTCATGCTAACCCAGGCTGCACTGGGAGCTGACACAGCCTGCACTAGGAGCTGACAGCCCACCTGTTTGACTTCATATATACCAGAGCAGAGCAGAACCAGGCGCTCTCTGTGTCCAAGGAGACTGCATCTGTCGGCACCCAAGGAGAGCGGCTGTGATTAATGAGATGTTGAGTCTGGTCTGGAAGCAAATGCTGAGCCAGAGCTTCAGACTTTGAGCCAAAGGCCCTTCAAGAGGTGCATTAAACACCAGTTCATCAGAGCCCAGGGGAGCATATGCCCTAATTCTTTGGGTAATAACAACTCTGCTCTCGTTTACACAAGCTTCAAACTGATAAGACATTGGTAGCCATTCAAATGTGCGTAAGTCCTCTTCCACGGGACTGACCTTCCTGTTAGTACACCTGTGACACTTGCTCTTGCAAGCACTGGCTCTGAGAAGTCCCCACAACCCCAAAGTGTCCCTGCTCCTTCTCAGAGCCTGCCTGACCCCAAGGTCTTCCTCTCATAGTGTGACAGTCAACTCTCACCCGCTCTGGCCTGTCCTCACATTCTGCTGGAAGGAATACACTCTCTGTGTCATTTGGAGGGAAAGACAGCACAGATCCCAGGGATGCCGTGCAGCCTGGCTGCCTAAACATCTTTGTGTTCTGGATGATGAGGAGACCTAGGGAAGAAAATCCAAGTGATATTTCTTTTAACCACGGAGATCCTTGCATTAAGTCATTCGCTGTGGTACTCTCGGAAACTTTGAAAGAGTTGACAGCTCTTGAAAGGTAGCCAGCCACACTTCACATTTAACCCTTAGCAAAGAGCAGCCTCCCAAGTCTGTTCCAGGCTAGGGCTGGCACACCCAGCTCCTGTTGAGGATGATGTGAGAGCACTCTTCTCTTTCAGACTATGACATCTGTGCCCAGGCTCCCTGTGAACAGCAGTGCACGGATAACTTCGGCCGAGTGCTCTGCACGTGTTACCCGGGATACCGATACGACCGCGAGAGACACCAAAAGCGGGAGAAGCCGTACTGCCTGGGTGCGTAGGAAAATGCATTTCTAGCTCCTGGGGACATGCTGTGTTCAGATACCTCTGCCCTTTGTTGGATTTGCTGCAGCAGCAGGGCCAGGTCGGAGGAGCTGCTGCAAGCTCTGATTCCTCCCCTGAAGTCTTTGGACTCGTGGGATGGAGTAGTGTTTGATTTGAGCCTGGGAACCTTAGCTTTCATCATGTTCAGCAAAACAAATAAGGTAAAGAGATGGCTTTCAGGAGCTGTAATTAGTCTGAGCCTAACTGAGAGGAGAAATACGAGCTAGGGAAAAGGGAGAGTGTCCTATGTAAGCTAGCATGATGTCTTAACAGCACAGAGGGTCAGGAGCCAGGTGTGGTGACCCACACCTTTAATTCTAACATTCAGGAGGCAGAGGCAGGAAGATCTTTCTGAGTTCAAGGCCAGCCTGGTCTACATATTTAGTTCCAGGACAGCTAGGTTTACATAGAGAGCTCCTGTCTCAAGAAAAGAAAAATCAGGCCTGCAGGCATACATGCAGACAGAATACTGAGACTACTGTACACAAATCTTCAAAAAAAAAAAAGAAAGAAAGAAAAGAAAAATCAGAAATGCAAAAACACGGAACAAAATGAGGCTTGGCAGCCCGAGAGTACAAGGAGGATGACAGAATTATTGTCATGTCGAGCCGGGGGGTGGGGGGTGGGGGGTGGGAAACAGTTTGAAAAAGCTGAGACCAACTGCCTGTACTACAATTAAGCAAACAGCCCACACATCCTCAGTGGCCACCAGTCTGTTTCTTTGTTTCTGTTGGCCATGGGTTTCCTACAGTGCCATTCTAAGAAGACTCACTGTCTCCAGAGATTGTCTATTTCAAAGTGTGATCATTTGGTGACTAACCTGGGGGTCCTGACCTCATCTCCAGGGCGAATGAGACATAGCTCTGAGCAGTAGACCCAGGAATGTAACGTTTCACAAACGTCACTAAGTAATTGACAGGTTTTCAAGAATTGGAAGATGAACTGAGATGGTCATAGACTCAAGTGGGAATTAAAGCTGTCTTGATAAACAGTCATTCCCCTCTGCCCACCAGGGCTCCGGGGAGAAACTTTGGGGCAAAGTTCTAGCCATAGGCCTTCTACAGCCTCCCAACAGTATCTGGAAACAGTACCACACACTAGCAAAGTAAACAGAGCAGGAGCCCATGACATCACCTACACAGAGCAGGGGATGTTACAGAAGGCTCAGCGCCACACATGGAGGCTAAAATTTCAGTGTCCTATAGCCGCTTCAACCTTCTGTTTTCTTTTGGTGACCAGAGGAGTTTGGGTTCAATGAAGGATGCCCCTAAAGCACAACAGCTTCATACTTAGCATTAGGACAGGGACGCCTCTAAGTAGGCTTCAGTTGGGACCCTCAGCCTCTGGATGACAGTGTGCGCTGCCAGGGGAACACCCACATCGCCATCCTCTCCCTGGCACTGTCAGAGATAGACCTTTGGCAGCTTGCCCAGGGAGCACTTGGAAAGCTGCCGATCTCCTGGATCCCGGAGCTGGGCTCTGCCTGCCACATGTGTAGAATCTGAGGTGGTGTCCTTTTTCCTATCCGCTACTCCAGATGTCTTCGTTCCGTGAACAGGAAATGGAATATAGCCTTCCCCTTTTTCCCGTGGCGAGAGACAGTTTTGTTTCCACTCTGTGCCACAGAGACTGAGACAGCGCTGTCCACAGTCCATGCTGACTCGCTTGTGGTCCCTCGTTTGATAATCTCACGGCTCATTTCCACAGCTCACCCGGGGGTCAGCGTGGGTCAGGATGGAACAGGGACCGCCTGGGGAAACCTATCTCCATGAGGCCCATCCTACTATTTACTTTTGTTAGAAGTAGCGCTTTCCAGTTACTGCCGTGTCTCTTAACTGGGAAGAGACCTTTCCGAAGTGACCTTTGGGTCACCATCGTGCTGTTTGAAACCTCCCATTATAAAGGGGGATGAAACCTCAGCACACCAAGCTACCTGCAGAAGTCAGCTGTGTTGCTGGTCACCCTGTTTTCTCTTCCATGGAGCCCTGGGGAGTGCTTAGGACTGGCCTCATTGTCATGCCCTACACCGGTAAGTGAGCCTCTGAGGCACCAACCCCCATGACAGACACCACCTCTCTAGGTCTCTAATGGCAGACACATGGCCCAAAGTTAAGGTTTCGCGTACAGCCTGTGTTCCTGGCACTTCACTTTATTCCACACTTCTCTGGTTCAGGTCTAGAAGTTTCTCTCACTTAGGTCACCAGAGGGGGCAGCCGTGTTGCTATGTTGCTGTGTTGACATAGTTCTATGTATTTGATTCAAACCAGATATTGACGAATGTGCCAGCAGCAACACCACTCTGTGTGCGCACATCTGTATCAACACCATGGGCAGCTACCACTGTGAGTGCCGGGAGGGCTACGTCCTTGAGGACGATGGGAGGACCTGCACCAGGGGAGACAAATACCCCAACGACACTGGTGAGCAAGAGAAGCATGATATCCTTGATTGTGTGTGCGTTTCTATTAGATCTTATATAGAGTGTCAGTTTAAGAATTACATAGACATAGCAATGAAATTATCTTATATAATTTTATATTCTATAAATGCAGCTTATATGTATAATGTATATTGCATATTTATATGTAAAATATTATACCATGCTATATCTTATGGTATGTATGCATGATATATAATAGTACATACATATTATATAAAATGCGATTAGGTATAATCTACAGTCCATATTATATAATTATACTATATATAGGACATGTTACTTTTAGTGTTGTATATATATTATTTATCCCATTTTATATATTTTTATGTAGTATAGATTATACATGACATGGAAATTATAGGCACCTGGGAGCCCAACCACTCCTCTGGTGACTCTGTGCAGGATGGGACACTTACACGTGGCACCTAGGTGAGAACCAAAGATGAAAGTCATCCGAAGGCGAGCTGGCAGGAGCAGGGTCTGTAGTGAGTGTGGCATCCTGAGCGCTGCTGGAGGAAGGGGGCATGTCTGCAGGGAAACCAGTAGCACTTGGCTGTGTGTTTCCAGGAACCTAGAACAAACAAGGAGGAGGCCAGACATAGTATTTTCTCAAAGAAAGTTTGTTGAAATGTGTGTTTGAATAATTGCCACTCACGGTCGCAGTCTGTTTCAACACAACCCGAAATGCAGTCCGTGTTGTGTGCCCATCTGTGAACTCGCTGCTTGGTTCAGGATCAGATAAAGACAGAAATTGGAGTGCGAGCGAATTTTTGCACCAGTTTGACAGAGGACATTTATTTAAATTCCAAATTTCATGCTTGCATTTCACATATAATCTTTTAAGCAACTCATTTTGTATGAGCCCACAGTCAGTTACCCAATTCCTACCATCTGGAGCTTCAGCGTGGAGCTGGGAGGCTGCCGGACATGAACACGGCAGCCAGATTCAGCCAAGATGACTGGTCACCAGAGCATGGGATCAGCCTGCGTGCTAGGGTAGTTCCTCTGAAGGAAAAAAGAATGAGGTAAAAGAGGAAGAAGGGGAAAGAGAAGAAAGAAAAGAGCTCCCATATTGGTGGGCAAATGCTTATAACATTCACGTGCAAAGGACCTCTGATCTCTCCGCCAAGTGCCAAGCTAGTCAATAAAATTTAGAATTTTAACCTGTGGGGACTAATGTCAGTCACCTTCCAGCTGGAATGAACTTAGAGGCAGAATAGTCTTCCCTACCAGTGTTGGCCATACAAGTTCCCTAGAGAGAAATCCTTAGCCGTTGAGAGGCCCAGACGCCGAGTTTGTACCATCAGGAGCATGCACTTTGCATGTGCTCCAGCAATCACGTGAACTCACGGTTAAGAGAGGGTAGGGGGCTGAGCCATGACTGGGAAGGGAGGAGGATCCTAGGGCAAATCACGTGTATCAAGATGTGCCGGGAGTTGAGAAAACCAGAAACATCTGGGCACTCACGTGATGGAGCCTAAGCTTCAAAAGGGGCTGGGAGGCAGCAGACAGCTGGCCACCAGCTGCCCCGCGAGGAACAACTACAAAGGCAGATTCTGAAGGGCAGCTAGGTTGAGTCATGGAGAAACCTCCATGTGCAAAAAGTCAATGCAAAATAGCGACTTGGAGTCAGCTCGGGACAGGGCATTTACAGACCCCGTGTATGAACTAGAGGGGGCTAAGCATGGGACACCTTTGAGACTCTGAAGCATACGGAGCTCACCCAACCAGAGGGCACTGCAGATCAAAGGGCAGCAATCTTTGAGGGGACAAAGTTTAATTAGGAAAATAATTTACAGACCATTTTTTAATTCAAAATTAAAATCATTGCTGTCTGCCCCCATGGGCAGGGAGATATGGCATATCTCTTTCTTGAAATGAAGGCGCTCATTGACAGCGGGTGCCACCTTTTAGCCATCAATTCATTCACATGTGGGACTGTGGGGGAATGTCACAAGGAAGCTGCTTTCTAAGTTGTCACTGTAGACTTGGATTCCCAGCTGCCTGTACACAGTTGGCTGTGAGTTGCCTGAGTTGATAAAGAGAACATTATTTTTTTTTTAACGTGAGCAGGAGGGAGCCTGGAGAAGCCCTAAATAGAGCAAAACCATCAGGACAGCAGATGTGTTACTGAGTGCCAGGGCAGAAATTCATGCTGAGAAGGAGGGTATTCAGATACCCATAACACGAGCTGACCACTCCCACAAGAATGACCTTCAGGGACAGAGACACTAACAACAAGGAGAGAGACAAATTGGAAGTCCTAGAGGCTTATGTAAGATTTGATGCACTGAGTTCATTTGTCCCCGGTCTTCAGAAATCTTCACCCACCCCGAAAGTAATTCCTGGCTTCTCCACACACCTTTCTCTTTTGTCCTCAGGACAGGAGATCGCCTGTGATCTCTCAGCTCAGTAATAGAATCTACCTCCACTAGAAGCACTCACCTGTGCCTACCTTCAGCAAGGTGGGCTTAGCAAAGGCGAGGGAAGGGAAGGCTGAGAAACTTCATCACATATTTTGCTTTTTTCTTTTCCTTTTTCTTTTCTTCAGCTCTTTGAGAATTTTATACAGTTTCAAATACTTTGAAACTTGGCCAGGTGTGGTTTTTGATCACCATCTGTAGCAAACAGAAACTTCTCTGAGGAGAGCTGAGAGATGCCCTAGTCTATGGGCCTAAAAGAAAGGCATTAGGGGTCTGTTTAATACTACGTCCGTGTAGCAGAGTATTGGAAGCACATTCTCTCCTAGGGCCTATGCTGTGGGTTTTTGGTCTGATAATAGTACTATAGGTTTCATCTTGTGATGCAAGCCTTAAGTCCATTCGGAAGGTGGCTGTGTCACTCTCTGGCTCACGCTTAGTTAAGCCCAGGTTCACCTGTCTAGGGATATAGCATTGCCCACAGTGGACTGGGCCGTCCTCCATCAATTAATAATCAATACTATCCCACACAAACATGCCAACAAGCCAATCTGAACTGGGCAATTCATCAGTCAAGACTTTTGTCTCAGATGAGTCTAGGCTGTGTCAAGTTGGCAAAGCTAACTGGGACCCTTGAATTTCACATAATTATTTATACAACCTTATAAACATCTAACTGGAGAGGTGGCTCAGTGGGTAAAGTGTGTGTTGTACAAGCATGAGGACTCCCGTTCAGATGCTCAGCACCACATAAAAGCAAGATGCAGCATCCCACGTCTCTAACCTCAGAGCTAGGGGGCTTGGAGACAAGCAGATCCTGGGGACATGTCAACCAAGCAGTCTAAGCAAAATCACAAGATCAAATTTGAAGTTCATGAGAGACCTTGTCACAAAAAATAAGGTTTAGGGCCTGGAGAGGTAATTCAGCAGTTATGGTCTGGTTTTAGGGCTCAGCATCCACATCAGGCCTCTTAGAACTATGTGTAACTCCAGTTCTAGGTGATCTAGTGCCATCTTCGGCCTCCTCGGGCACCTGCATGTACATGGTGCACATACATATGCACCATCACACACATAAATGTCTGGATGTTTTAAGTAAATAAGTTGGAAAGCACTAGAAGAAGAGACCAGATGCACACTCACACCTCATACACACATACACGTGAAAAATACCAATTCATAAAAGGGGTACTAATATTTTAGTTTCTGTTTATCGTACGTGTATGGGTGTTTTGCCTGCGTGTATGTCTGTGTACCACATGTATGCAGAGCCCAAGGAGGCCAAGGACAGGGTACTGGATCCCCTGGGACTGGAGTTAGATATGGTTATGAGCGACCATGTAGGTCCTGGGAATTGAACACAGTTCCTCTGAATAGTGGCCAGTGTCCTTAACGAATGAGCCATCTTTAGAAACCCAATTATTATTTTTTTAAGATCTCGTAGGTGATGATGTCCTAAAAATCACAGATTGGAAACTACCTTATGTCACAAATCTGAGCTCTGGAGCTAAACTTGATGGGACATCTGGTCGATTCTCTAGCCGACAGTGGCTGAAGTGCAGAGGGTAGAGACGAAGATTCACTGTGCAGGGCCTGGCGCAGAACAGGAAACAGGGCAGACCTCTTTCATTGTGCCATACTCGGAGATTCCTGGTTCCTCTAACAGTGGCCAAATGGGAAATGCCCTTGTCTTTTGCTGGAGCAAACCATCGGGTGATTTTATCATTAAGCCTTACTGAGACACAAAGTGTAAAACAATTGAATCGCGTTGTAAGTTTTCTCCCATTTCCCCCTGCCTCTTCTTCCACCACCCTCCACACACGGCAATTTCACCTGTTTTGAAAGAAATAAGACACGCTAATAAAATGCCACCATCAGCTCTTTCACACCACCCAAAAGTGTGAGCCTTATCATTTCAAAATAGTCACTCCTAATTTTCAATTTACAGTCTCCACTGCACTAAACACCTGTCCGCAGAGGGTGTTGGTCTGGTTTTATATTTGACAAAGGAGCATCATTACACTGGTGATCAGGGAAATCTGGGGTAGAAATTGAGAGGAATCATTCATACAGATCTGAGAAAGGACAAGGTCTTTGTGCACCCAGACGTTCCCTGTCCTAATTCAATTGCTTGACCTCTGAGCCACCACTGCCTCGGGTATTTTTCTCCAGTGCCTCTCGTGACTCTGGGGACAGAGAGAAGAAAAGGGGAAGGAAAGGGCCCTGAAGTCATTTGTCTGACAACCATGATGCCACAGGAAGTTCCTCACCTAGGAAATTAGAGCAGGTGACCCAAGCTGGGTTAGTGCTCACTGACTGTGTGCTTTGAGACTGGTCTCTGGCCCCGTTTTACTTAGTCTCTGGGGGCACTGTTGATCTCCAGCTCCAGGGTCCCTTTGCCCTTGGAAAACGTTTCAAAATTTGCTGGGATACAATATAACAATGCAAGTGTTCCCTGCATTTTTATCTCCTTGTCCTCTATCCCTGCAAGAACTCCAACTTGAAAACACGCCCAGCTTTAACACCTTCCGTGTAGGGGAGGTTCCTTTCAGTATCTCAAGGTTGAGTGGTTTCACATCCGAACAAGCAGCTCAGTTGTAAGCCATGCTCATGGCAAAACGAGCCTTCTGGATATGAGGCCGCTAAGTATTTCCAGCTGCTTTGGATAAATTGGGCAGCCCAGTATTTCACCGTCATATATATATATACATATATATATACATATATATATGTATATATATAATAAAGATAATGATTATTGAGTACAAACACACGAACTAAAAGTCACCTCTCCCTGTCTGGTATGTTTTGAGCTTGGGGGAGTTTTTTAGGGTGAGATATTTCTTCAGCTTTTCATTCTCCAACAGTTACAATGTTAAGAGTCAGACAAACTTAAAATAGAAGTCCAGGGTCAGTGAGCTGCTTGTCATACAAACCTGACCGCTTGAGTTTGATCCCAGAACCTGTTTAAAGGTAAAAGGAGAGAACCAACTCCACAAAAGCTATCTGCAAGTCTCCATGAAGTCAAATATGTGTCTCCACATGCATGCATGCCTTGACTCATACATGTAACATAGTGTAATAAACTTTAAAACTAAAATGATGACGATGATGATGATGATATGGAAGTCTAGCAGCCTAGAAGGGATGTGTCCCCAGGACAGCCTCTGACAATTTGAAAGACAATTTGAAAGAATGTACCCTGGCTGAGTGATACAAGCCATCTGACAAATTAATGTTCAGTCATTTTGATTTTTATCTTTGAAAGCCCAGAGCCGGAGCCAGTGGAGACACAAGGGAGTCTGCGTACCGCAACGGGCAGACAACGAAGGAAATGTTGGCTCCATCGTGATTAGCTTTCTGGCCTTTATTTTTCAACTTGTGTTTATTTTCTGATAAAGTTACCGTGACCCCAAGTGTCACTCAATACAGTTCAAAGACTCAGAAATGGCCAGGTGTTTCAAATAACTTTCAAACCCTGATAATAATAGATTAGGGATTTCTTAATGTGGGTAATGTTAACACATACTGACACTGCCACCCCGAGATGGGTGGGTGTGTAGTTTTCAAAGTTCTGCTTCCCCCCCTCCACTCCGTGGAGGGGTTGTGGTGTGCTGGGATTGGATTCAGCACAGTCAAGTCTTTAAACCAAAATCCTTTATTCACTTGGGGCACTTCCCATGTGAAGCACATTCTTGGGTTCTTCTAAGTTTATTTGATATCTGTTATCCTAATTTCTAAGCCATTACATTTCTAGCGTTCAACATGTTTAACCAGACTCTCGTAAAAACTAGAGCTCCATGCCCCCGTGTGGCTTCTCCGTAGTACTGCAGCCTGAAAATCTGGAAAGGCAGCATGGAGCTAGGAGCGAATTTAGGTAGACAGTAAGTTTAGCGGAGAGTCATCCCTGGACCTGCCAGACCACATCTGAGTGTTCTCAGCAGAGATTCCAATAACAGCCTCCCTTTATGCTTACCCCATACCCCAAAGGGCCAATTGGGTCCTACAATTGTGTGACCTGCACACGGTATTCTGCATAATCAAGTTACCAGCCCCTTCTAGGGCTTACTTCATCTGTAAGAGGGCGCTAAAGATGTGTCAGCTCTAACATTCCGTGATCCATATAACATGAGTCCAGAACCAAGTGACGGGGTATGATTACCCTGTCATGCAGACATGCATTTGCACCAACACTTGGAAAATCCAGCTGGGGATGTGCAAATGGGTGTGCAGAGATCCGCTTTTCACTCCTACATGTGAGCCCTCAGCAGGAGGCTTGGTCTTACACCAAGGTCAGATGTCAATGGTGAAGCAGAAGTGTTGTTTTGATCCCCCATTCATAAAACCTCCTTCCCGCACTGAGCAGCTCCCTGGGTGAAGAGGGGTGGGTGGAATGGAGTAATGATCAATGTGAATTATCAACTTGACACCCTGAGAGTCATCTGAGAAGACTCTCAATGAGCAATTATCTGAATTGAATCTATGGGCACATGGGGTGGGCATGCCTTGGTTATGGTGATCGTTAGTTGAAGACCCCACCTAAAAGTGGGGAGCAATCATTCTGGGCTGTATAGAAGGGAGCTGGGTGTAAAATCATGTGCTCGTGTCCCTCTGCTCTTGACTGGCTAGGACTAGCTGCTTCCGTTTCCTGCCACTGCGATTACCCCACAGGCTATGACCTGGAATTGGGAGCTAAATAAGCCCTTTGTTCCCCAAGTTACTTTTGTCGGGGTATTTTATCATCAAAATGAGGACAGGTGGGTGCACTGGCAGTGGACGAGTAGTTCAGAAAGGTGGCTGGCTCTGTGCACATGGCTGAGCTGTGCCCTTCACAGTGACAAGGTGAATCCTGAGCTAGCTCCAGATACACTCACTGTACGGGATGGAGAACCCTACAGAAACAGACAAGGTTCTAGGTCTCATGTGTCTGTAGATATACAATGACAGTGGAACGGTGTCCATTTCTCCTGGCCAAACAATGCAGCCATTGGGAAGAGGCACACGTGTCATTATCTTCCAGGTGTCTTCTGCAGAGTCCTGTTTTCAGACTCAGTGTGCTGGGCCCCAGTCAGCTGGGCCGTGCTCCCCCAGAACAATGCACTGTCCGAGATGGGGACAGGCAGTCCAGGTGTGACTCAGAACAGCTGAGTGTGAGAATTTGTGCGGCACGTGGACTCGGGCCCTGGAGAACAATAAAATCGTGTCAGACTTATAGAACCACCATTCTTGAAAGTACTAATAAATGCACACGTTTCCACAGAGGAGAGCTGCTAATAAAAGGAACATGCATGTGTTTCCATACACATGGAATGTCTAAGCACAGCTGGCCCCAAAAGGTAGCAGGGCCTCTCTGTCCCTTCCCCTTTCGCCTGACCCTGGGTCATTCTGGATCATCTGGAGAACACCTACCCCTTATACAACTTCCATGGTCAGCCTTTCTGTACCCCGTGCCCAGGGACGGCCCTTCTGGTGCCATTGCTCCCAGAATGTGCACTGCTAGTCTCCCAGCTGGAGCTGAGCCGATGTCTCTCCCCAGGGCACGAGGAGAAGGCCGAGAATGAGGTGAAAGCTGGGTCTTGCTGTGCCACATGCAAGGAGTTCTCCCAGATGAAGCAGACGGTGCTGCAGCTGAAGCAGAAGGTACTGGAAGCACAATGGGAGGGGTGTGCATGTGTGTGTGTGTGTGTGAAGGGAGGGTGAAGGGGGTTGGTGAGTACTCATGATGATGAAAATAGATCATTCTGGTTGGCCACTCATTGCAGTTGGTGTAAACCGGATGTGAATTCTGGATGTTTTCCCCACTCCAGAGCTGACCACCTAAATAGCAATGGAACCCAAGGCAAAGACCTGAGGGAGGGGGTTACTATAGCAGGCCTGGTGATAGGTACATGCAAAGTTGTTGCAAGAGCCATACAAATACTGCCGTGACTTCAACGACAGATGGCCCTGGGCAGACCTAGACAACAGTATTTCATCTGTTTTATTAATTGGAAACATTCTCTTAAATGTCCTCTCTCTTCTGTAAACCGATGTCTTCCTGTGGTGCCTTCATTCTCTCATGTAAACGTTAGGGTCCAGAGGAAGATGTGCATTGGGAAAGCAGTCCTCTGAGTGCCTCATGTCACCAGGCGTGAGGACCAATTCCCTTCCTGAAAGAATCTGCCTGATGAGACAGGGCGCAGGGCGCAGGGCGCGGGGCACAGGGCACAGGGCACAGTCCCGGGGTGGTGTTTATTACACCTGAGGTCAGCGCGCTCCGAAACGGTTCTTCAGCTGCCCAAACATAAACTTGCTGCTTTGTTTGTTTAATCACTTCCACTCAAGGCCCTCGGGAGATCAAAGTGGTGTGTATAATCTGTTTAACTCTGGCAGTCGGTTATTCTAAAGGGCAAAAGGGTAACATAAGACACTACCTCTTCCATGGCCAGGAAAGTGGCAGCCGCCCTAATGAGAAGCCCAGCTAGCAGCTAAACCAATTGAAACAGCAGGCCCAGAAGGGAAGCAGTGTTTCCGACCTCAGAAGCATGGGCGGGTGAGGTCATGATCGACTTTAGCAGAGGCTCATATATACTTGCATAATCAGGAGTAAATCATGGACCTAATCATAAATAGCTTGTGCTATCATAGACAGGCAGAAAACCTTGTCTGGGAGCCAGGATAAACAAAGAGAAAGGAGGAACTATTTCCCATACAGCTATCCCCAGGTGACACTTGAATTGATGTTAGCATCTTTAGAGGAAACCCAGGTTTGCAGAAGCATTAAGCCCGCTTTTCATAAGCTAGGAGCATCAGGCTTTGGAGAGGTAGTTAATTATGGTCTCAAAGCACAAAGCTGCCCTTACTTGCCTTCCCTGGAAATAACCTATGACCTTACATAAATTCTCTCCAGCTGGACTGCTTTTAAGGCACTCAATATTGTGAGTTGTTCACAAACTAACAAAAGTTGCTGTATTTGGCCTCTTTCCTCCCCACCCCCACCATGGTTTTTCAAGACAGGGTTTCTCTGTAGCTTTGGAGCTTGTCCTGGAGCTCACTCTGTAGACCAGGCTGGCCTCAAACTCACAGAGATCCACCTGCCTCCTGAGTGCTGGGGTCACAGGCATGTGTCCCCCATACCCAGACGAAGGTGAATTCTCTTTAGAAGGTACCTCCTGGAATGTATGACTTCCTGCCATATGTGGAGCAGTTTTTATGTATAAAATCTTACTTAACTGTCACCGTAGCCTTGCAAGAAACATGCTAATATGTTCCCAGAGATGAAGCGCATGCTCAAGAGGTCAGGCCTGAAATCCAGGCCTTCTCCTGAAGCCTGGTGTAGATAGATCATTTGCTTTTAACATCTGCTTGCCATTGCTGATGCCCTCTGTTCTTTTCATAGAACACAAGGCATTCATTTGCCCGGATAAACATTGTCTAAGAAGTAGGAATATGGAAGGGGGTGCTGGAGAGCAGCCAGCCCCATAGTATGAGGCAGTGCACACACATGTTCAACTACACTATGACTATATAGTAGCCAGAATTCTAGCCACAGAAAATGCCCCAGGTCAAATCCCTTGGCTCTTCAGGAATCAACTGGAAAAGAAAGCCACATAAAATAGCAGCATGCAAAATACAAGGAGCCTACAAGACCTGCCACTTTTTAACTAGCAAGGTTAACCACAGTGTTCAGGGAAGGACTGCGGGGCAGTTTAATGCAGGACATAATATACAAGTCAGGATAGTAGCTACTTTTGAAAGAAGGAAGGAGAGTGGTGAGGGATACTTAGGGAGATCTGGGGTGACCTTGTTGGTTTAATGCAGGACATAATATACAAGTCAAGATAGTGGCTACTTTTGAAAGAAGAAAGGAGAGTGGTAAGGGGCACTGGGGAGATCTGGGGTGACCAGAAGGTCTACATGTTGACTTGAGCGTCCACTGAGTGTGTGTGGTTTAGTCATTTTCTAAGCTGCGTCTATTAGTTCTATGAAACTTCCTGTTTGGGGCTTGTATTGTCCATTCAGCCCTCAGTGCCTCTTCCCCTTCATTTTTTTTAAGATAGGAAAGAAATGTGATCTGATGAGAAGGGAGCCTGTGGACCACAAAGTACCTGTCGTTCAGCTTTTGTTTGAGCATTGAGGAAAAGCAGTCAGCTTCTTCTGAAATTCACTCATGGCCAAATGGACTGCTGGGATTGAGATAGCTAGAGAGGACCAGGAAAGAAGACCCCAGAGAGAGAGGCATAGCTCGTCAGTGAGCCTGCACAGCAGCTCGGGACCCACAAGTGTGCTCAGCCTCTGAAAGTCACTGTATAGGGAGCAGGGGATTGCGGCCCTCTTATGCCAGCGATTCTTACTTAGCTGACAGTGAGCAATGGAGATGATGTTACAGGTATTTGCTGAGCACCCACTGTGCCCTACAGTGGCCTGAGCAACAAGGAAGTACAGTGTGGAATAAAGTCCTGCCTCAAGCAACTTGACATTTTACAAAGAAACCAAGCCAACAGTGTGACTTAACAGTGATCGAATGGAGTGAGGAGGTAGCCAAGCTTGAGAACTCAGGTCAGTGAGGTGCACACAGTGAGCAGGCTTTCCTACCAACTGCATGTGCAGGTTCTGAACCGACTTCCACAGCTAAATCGTGGGCACACACACACACACACACACATATATGTGATAAAAAAAATTTTAAATGTACATATGTACCACAGAATTTTATTGAACCACAAAGAATAATCATGTCCTTTCCAGAAAGATATACTGGAGATCAATATGTTTAATGATATTAGCTAGATTCAGACAAAAAAATGCATGTTATCTTAGGTAAGTTTCTGTTGCTGTAATAAAGACCATGACTAAAAGCAGCTTGGGGTGAAAGGGATTCATTTGATTATATGTATAACTCAATCAAAGTCCATCATGAAGGGAAGTCAGGACAGGAACCTTGAGGCAGGCACTGAAATGAGCCATAGAGGGAACACTGTTTACCAGCTTGCTTGTTCACAAGGGCTTGATCAGCCTGCTTTCTTAGAGAACCCGAGACCACCTGCCCAGTGGGCTGGACCCTCCTACATCAATTATTAATAAAGAAAATGCCCCACAGGCTTGTCTACAGGACATTCTTCTGGGGGCATTTTCTTAGCTTATCCTTCTTTCAAGATGACCAGAGTTGGTCAAGTTGTCAAAAACCTAACCAAAACAAATGTTTTCTCATATTTGCAAATTTTAGACATGTATATAAATATATAGCTTTATATATACATACATACATACATGAAGATATTCATGCATGCATATATATGTGTGTTATGAAAGCAGAAGGTAGACTTGAAGAAAGAAGATGAGAAGGGAGGAATAAGAGCCATATTGGGGTGAATTTAGTCCCAAGTACATGATGGACTTGGAAGAAATGGCTTTTATGAAAGGAGATAACACCTCCTAAATTTGGTGTCAAATTAATTACCGCCCATAAGAGATTGACAGCAACGCCTGCTGCCTAGGACAGGCTCGTGCTGAACCTACCAAACTCGTGCTGAACACTAGCAGCGAGCATGCCATCTTCAGTGTCCTACCTGCTCATGCCAACAGCCCTCTCGGGTAGATGGTCTAATACCAAGCAAATCTGATCTGAAAGAACAGTAATTGCAAGTCCATTTCTTGACGCTCAGAAGTACAGACTCTGCTCAGATTGCTATAGCCTTGCTTCCAAACACTCACGCCCCACAAGCTCCTCCCCTGATGTTTCTGGGAGAAGGTGTCTGGTCACACCTACTCCCTTTCCTTCCCACTTGTCTTAGGAGTATGGGAGCTACAGGCAGCAGAAACACTGGGGTTGTAGTCACTGGCTCATCTTAGAACTTGAATACAACTTGAACAGTGGAGCTAGTCAAAAGGAAAAAGCAACAGGAGCCGTGTTTAACCAACCGCGGTAGATCCCCTCCCCAAGCCAGGTTGCAGGATTTTGAACATGAAGATGTGATCATCTAGAGAGACACGCCTCATTTTGTTGATGTGGAGGTGAAAACGTGGGAGGCTAGAAGACTACTTGGGCCCAGAGGCAGGAGCAAGGGCAGGCAAAGCCTTCCCACTGGGCAGTGACAGTGGCTGGACACTGGGCCCATGCATCCATTTTCCTGGGCAGGAGCCCTCATAGGTGCACGCTACCATCTTGTTTATAGATGATATCCAGGCCCTAGAGATTTCAGTGTTCTTTCCAAAGCCAGAGCCCCATACCAGAATTCACATCTCAGTGTCTCAACTAGCAGCTGATGGTAAAATTGAAAGAGGCTTCAGGGGCTAGAGCTGACCCACGGACCCAGAAGGTGCATTTACTTTTCTTATTCCCTCATTATTTGCTAGTCCACACTCTCATCTCTAAGTTGTAGCTGTCTACGGGACATCAGCAGCAGTTTGCTGAACTCCAGAACATGGCAGTGTCCTCTTAGGACTCTGAGCCATGAGACGTGATCTGAAATAACACAAGGCTGATTCTCAGTTCTTGCAAGGCTGCCTCCACCTTTCTCCTCTCTCCCTGAGGAAATTACCTTTGCAGGTGTTCAGTTCCCACCAAAGCTCTCACAGAATCCCAGGTTACCTGACTTCAGGGACTGCTAATGCCGCTTGTCCATGCGGTCCTCTGGCTTCCTCTAGAACGAGAAATCCCAGGCAGTAAGCAGGGCAGTAGCCTCCGCACCCACAGTCTCAGAAGCTACACACTGCCACCACCTCCACACTTGTCATTAAAAGCCGATAACCAATCCAACAATGAGAACCAGCCTCACCTTTGGAAGGAGGAGTGTTGAAGAACTTGTGGACAGGTTTTATGTTAACCACCAAGGTTTCTGCTGTCCATCTGTTCCGAAGGTTGGGTATATGTATGAACGGTCACCCACAGTCTTGTTCCTGGTTCCCAGAACTGGACATTCTTTAAGGCAAGGAGCCATGTCTTGGTCACCACTGGAGCCATAAAACAAAGAACAGAACCTGGCATATAGTATAATGAATATATGTTTGAGTTGTAAAGTAGTTACTTGAATGGACAGGAAGTACAACACCAGTATGTTTTATTAGGCATGGTAATTCTACGGATCTCGGCAACCTGACTGTTCCTGGTTTCAACCACTCTCACTGAGGAAATACTTGCAAGGAGTTTGCCCTGGACAGCTCCTCGGCTGGAAAGGGTCTCTCTGGCCTGTCTGCACTCTATCTAGCTACAATGGAGAGCAAAATAGTGAGCCAGTCTTGCAGGCTCTGCGGATGACGGCTCTAACACAGACTTCCTCACGGAGCAATGTTGGCGTTCTGACGCAGATCTCCCTTGTCTTTACAGATTGCTCTGCTTCCCAACAACGCTGCAGAACTGGGCAAGTATGCCAATGGTGATAAGGTGCTGGCCTCAAACGCCTACCTTCCAGGACCTCCCGGCCTGCCTGGGGGACAGGGCCCACCGGGTGAGTATGCACTAGAACACAGACTGGGAGGCTCACATTCAGTGAGGCTGCACAGGGCTCTCCAGCTTCCTCCAGTTCTCATGGGTGAAAGGCGACGTGCTGGGCAACATGCTTGTGTGATGAGAGGCCAGGAGGGATTTGGGTCCTGTAGCTTGAGAAGGAAGGGTTAATTTTCTGAGGTCAGAAAGGACTCCTAATGGTCATTTTAAAAGGTGATCATGGTACCACACCTGGAATCCTAGGTCTCAGGGTCAGCAGGAGGAGGATCAAGAGTTTGAGTCTAGCCTGGCCTACATGGTGAGATCCTACGTCAAAACCAATTATTTTAAGTTAATGAGAAGCACCATGAAGACTAGTATTTAAGTTTTCCCTAGGAAAACCTTAACATATAGAGTAATAGACTCATAAAATCGTACAGTTCAACTGAATCACAGCCAGAGGTCACAATATGGCCCCATTGCCACTCTCCTCAGTTCTTTGGCTACCTCCTCTTCTTGCTTTAAGCATTTTGAACTATATTCTTACTCCTATTTTGTTGTAAGAGGGATTTGTTGAGGTATAGATCGTATAATGAGGCAGGCCATTCCAAGGCTGAGTTTTAGTTTTGCCAAGTATAGACTCCCCTGTAACGTACACTCCACACCAACCTTACAATACAGGAAGTTTCCACCATCCACAAAGTTCCCTGGAGCCATGGACCACCAATGTTCCCCCGGTACCAGCTCTAGGTATCCACCAACTGCCTTCCTTCCCCAAGACTTTCCCATTCAAGGGCTACATTTCAGACATCTCTCATAGCTTCCGTTCTGCATGGCTGTCTTCTTTCTATCAACATACGGTTTCAGAGATTCAGCCTTGCTTAATCAGAAGATTTATAGTGAGAACTTATTTCTTCAAGTTCTGAGGCATTTTACACTTTATTGTGAATCTCTCTATACATAGATCAGTAGAGGCTTTAACACTAATAGAAGAAATGACATCAGTGTTAATAGGTGACTCTAAACCATGGCTGTCTTAGCCCTTGTTATGAACCCAGCAGTGTGCTGGTTCTGGCCGCTGATGTTCTAGCTGGGAAGATGTAGCACGTACAATGACTATAGAGGAAAGTGAGTCAGATTGGCATCTATAATCTTAGCACCAAGGAGGCTGAGGCAGGCATTGTGGTCAGTATGGGCTGAAGAATGAGATCCTGTCTCAAACAAACAAAATCAAGAAAGGTATATACGTCCCTCCAGGTCAGGCCGCAGGGAAATAACGTGTAGTTTGAAGTCAGAGGTTGGCATTAGGGGATTGAACTGGTGAAGGAAGATCAGTAAACTATCAGAAAGGGAAGGACCTGGCCAAGTTTTTGATCCAAAGATCAGTAGGAAAGCTCAGATTTCTTTCTATCTGCTTGTGTCTAAACCCCTCAGTTTCCCTCACTGACCTGAGGCTCAGTTCACACAGAAGAGCTGACCCAGGACTTTGGTTTATCCTGATGTTCACCTCATGACCTGAGTATCCCCCCACGGCAGTTTTCTCACACCAGCATCCTCGATCTTCTGCCTCCTATCGCTGATTCCTATCACAGCGGCCCCAGGGGCTCTTGCTTTGCATCGCTGGGCTAGTCTAGATGTCATTAGAACAAGGGCATGTTCAGGAAGAGGGGTGCCATTAGTTGTTGGTTTTCTTAATAAAAGGCTGACAAGTTTGCCTTCTGGTTCTGCCATCTGGTTTCAAACACGGTGTGAGCTGTCCAGGGTCCTTGAGGGAACCACACCATTGAAGATGGATGGGCTTTTGCAATCCATGAAGAGATTCTCATTTATTTCTAGACAGATTGCTTTCCACTGAGATGTATTAGGGTGTCTAGAGAGCTCATGGGGTTCTCTCACCTTTAAACAGAATTCCCACTCAGAGCCCATCATGAACTGCATACTGAAGCTGTGAAATTGGTATATACATACATACAAATGAACTTGTAGTCTACCTTTTGACATAATACATGGACCAGTCTTGGAGACATTAGGCTAAGTAAATTAACCCAATTTCTAGAATAGACAGACACAGCCAGGCATGCTCGAGCACACCTGAAATCCCAGCACCCGAGAAGGGCTCTGTGTCTACAGGGATGCATCCTTACATGATGCAAACTTTCTGCAGATCTGTGACAGCTTTCTGAGGGCGCCCAACACCTGGGAGTCACACACTTACACATTTTTAAGATGGAAACCTTTGTAGTAAGCACTTTATACACAGTTTTTTAAAAAGTACTCTAATTGACTGTACCCTTTCCCCATATCATCCCTGGACAATGTTCAGGGTCAGAAGCGAGCATGCTGTAGTCCACATGGTTCAGCCCATCCAGTTGAACATTCAGAGCCCTCACATAGAAAGGCATTTCCTGGCAACCTTGTCATGTGACAGACATTCTGTATCCTGCATGAATGTCTCAAATGGCAGTGCCAGGATCCCTCCCTTCCTTTATTGCAAGCTCAACCAAGCCAACATGGCTGTTTCTGACTCTGTCTAGAAAGGTAGAGGAACCCCACACATTTCCATATCAACCTCCATGATAGAATGACTTGAAAAAGGTTGGGTAGCAACTATCTTCAACCAGGTACAAAAATGGTCATATGGCTCACTCTTAAATATGCCCAGTGCTCTGTTGGCACAAGGCTCCAAAGAGAACCTTAGACAGCAAACTTCCTGTCTACAGAGATCCCACAGGCAGCCTTGGTGAGAGTATGACTGTGTGAGGAGCCGAACTGGCACAGAGCACAGGCTTCATCTAAAAGGACACTGCAGAGGCTCCAGGTCATTGTACCAGCAGCAGAACTCAGGTCTAATTTTAGTTCTTCCTGTTTTCAAACCATGGTCAAGAGACCCAGATTTTTTGAAGGAAGTCTCCAAAATTTTAAATAGTAGGAATATTCAGAGGCAACAGTTGCTTTGGAAGACATACCCGTGGACATAGTGATTCATGATGAAGTCGGCACTTAGTTTTCACAGGGAAGGGAATTGAGATGATTTGGGGTACACGATCTGTTGTGTTTTGGCAGGGTACAAGCAAAGCAGAACAGGAGGCTGGGCAACACACCACCTCAGGGTCTGTTGGGGAAGGACATGTGTCACCAGAGGAAGAGAGCCTTGGGGAAGGAAGAGAACGAGCGAGTATGAGATTGAACCTTGAGCAAAGGAGGCCACGGCGCTGTCTTCTCCTTTCAAAGTCAGCTCCTTGCACAGCATTGGGAGAGTTTGAGAGCTAGCCATGTGATATAACCTAGTGTCTGTGATATAACCTAGCCATATGATATAACCTTGTGTCTGGCCTTAACCTAGCCATGTGATATAACCGAGTGTCTGGTTTATATGTGAGTCACCTCAGAGTCTGATTCTGCTCACTGTCATGCCACTTGGTGGCTGCTTGTTTATCTTGCTTATTTATGTCTGTCAGTTCTTTTTATTGAACACTGCACATTTGTCGATAAACACTAGAACCTGAGGAACTCGGCAATCCCTCTCTGAAGCAGGCCTCCTCTTCTTTTCTCACATCTATAACAGGAAGTCCAGCCATCCTAGAGTAGTTGGGTCAGGTTGGGGTTTTATTGTCACGATTTTTGCCTTCAGTGCTTTGTTGTCTTCAAACATTCAAATCCACCCAATGGTAGGATGCTGTTCCTTTGTGCTGAGTGTCAGTGGGTTTTCTCTGTATTCCACACTTGGTTTCCTGCAGTCCCTACACAATTCTCTACGCTCTTGTCTGTTCTTCACTAATAGATTCCTTTTACTTTATGTTTCACGCTAGAAATATAGGCAAGTATGGTGGAAGTACAGGCAATGTCACTTTGTCCTCTGCTTCTGGGCCTTGAATAAGTAAGACCTCTTCTTCACGCTCATCTTTAGAAAATCATGGGCAGAACAGGATCTTCTGTTTCCTCACAAGCAGCGAGTATACATAATGTCTACAGGAAAGAACGTGTGCTCCCCATCTTGCGGGGGTGGAGGCCTCTATGGTAATGATTAAAGGTAGGAGATTTCTATAGGTGGAAACACTCCACTGAGCTTCAAAGGATGAGTGGGTGAGGACTGAACAAGATGGGTAGGAGGCAGGGGCGCCAGCTGCAAGGCCAGAGTTAAGGTAAATATAAGAAAGGTAGAGGCCTAGCAGACTTTTAGCACTTACTGTGGGTGAGGTGCAATGTCATGTCTGCGTGTGTCTAAGAATTTTATCTAATGCAGCCATTGTATATTGAACACTTTTATTCCAATTTGGAGATGAGAGACTAAGGCCCAAAGATCTCAAGCAAGTTGTCAAGGATTCAAATGTAGGTCTCTTTGATGGTTAAAAAAAAAATTGCTGGCGTATGGGTGTGTGTGAGTGCACACGCATGGAGGCTAGAGATCAACCTTTAGTGTCTTTTTATATCACTGTCTTCATCTTACATTCCAGAGAGATCGCTGACCAGCAAGTCCCCAGGATTGACCCACTCATCCCCTGGGCTGTGTTATTAGCTATTCACCACCACACTGGGTACCATAGATCTGAACTTGAATCTTCATTCTTATGCAGAAATCACTTTATCCACTGAGCCATCTCCCCAAACCCCAAACCTTGTACTCTTAAGTGCTCTGTGGAAAACACCACTTACTGTGATCCAGGGATAGAGAGACATGGAACGGGCCAGGCTTACAGAGGTAAAGCAGGCAGATCCCTGGATGACTGCAGAGGTTGTGAAACTAGAAAGGTTCTCAAGTGTCTGACTTGATCAAATAGGTCCAAGACAAGACAGAAAGGTGGAGTCACTTTTAATTGTGTTGAGTTTAAATTGCTATGAACACCTTAGTATAAATGCCGCAAGGCAAAGAGCAGAGTTACAAGACAAATGTCTCCAGTGATACCAGACTCTGTATTTGTCTTTATTATGGGGTAAGTGCTAATAAGATGTTCTTGATTACAGGATCACCAGGACCCAAGGGGAGCCCGGGATTCCCTGGTATGCCAGGCCCTCCTGGACAGCCTGGCCCTCGGGGCTCAATGGGACCTATGGGACCATCCCCAGACCTGTCTCACATTAAGCAAGGCCGGAGGGGCCCTGTGGTCAGTATCCTCTGCAATCCACGTAATACTGGGGGTAAATACGTTCTTGTCCTGTAACTTCCGTTTTAGTTAAATCAGATGCTGTGTCTTCTAGGGCCCACCGGGAGCACCAGGAAGGCATGGCTCCAAGGTAGGTCTTACTAGCTACTGCAGGTGTTTCTACCCCCTTGGGCATCCAGTGAAGCTCGGCAAACCCCATTTATCTTTGACGGCTGAAACACAGATATGCAAGTCGAGAATGGCCAGCCCCACAGTCTCTAATGCTGGGAAATCCTAAACGGTTGGAGCATGTGCAACACTGGGGGGAAATGAATTCCAGGCTGGGGGTGGTGGCGTAACCACACTCGTGTGTCTCAGTAATCGGTGTGTTATAGAATGGCCCCCCTCGTTCACGTGGAGAACCACACACAGCTCCTTTCTACACGAGCGCTGGCTTCCCTCTTGAGGGTTGACAGCTGCTTCCCATACAGCAGTGTGCGTGTCTTCCTTCAGAGAGGCTGGTGTTTCACACTCTGCGGAGAGAGACAGGATTCCTTATCAGATCTGCTTGGGAAATACACAGCCTTGTGAGAACTCAGGAGCCGAGCCACTCAGCCTAAGCTTGCCAGTTCTAATAAGAGGTCCCCTGGGCCCAGCTTCGACTCAAAGCTTATTTCCTGCAGGAGGATGGTTGTGGGTGGTGGGTGTCTAGCCAGAGACAGCGGTGCTCCAGAATGCTAACCCTCACCTTTCGGTTCTAGGGGGAGAGAGGAGCACCTGGGCCTCCAGGGTCTCCGGTAAGTTGCCTCATCTGTCCTGCTTACCCAGTGGGGATGCTCTCGTGGGTGTGGCACTCATAGAATGGTGGAGCTGGGGCTGGCGAGATGGCCCAGTGGGTAAAGGCACTTTGTCATCAAGCCTGATGACCTGAGTTCAATTTCCAGGACCCAAATATTGGAAGAAGAGAACTGACTGCCACAAATGTTCTCTGACCTCCATAGGTATAATATACATATCCCCACACAAATAAATAATGTTTAAGCACCTTTTTAAAATATATGTGTAGGCCAAAGTTTCTGTCCCGCCAGCCAGTTCCCACCTAACCACACAGAAACTCATTATTATTTGCAAATACTCTTTGTTAGCTTAGGCTTGTTACTAAATAGCTCTTACAACTTGAATTAACCCATTTCTATTAATTTATGTGCTGTCATGTGCCTCATGGCTTGTTACTTCATTCTCTACATGTCCTGTTCACTCTGCGTCTGGTTGGCAACACCATCCTCCTTCTTCCCAGCATTCTCCCAGTCTCAGTCTCCTGCCTGGCCTCTTTCTGCCTAGCTATTGGCCAGTTGTCTCTTTATTAAACCAATGAGAGCAGCAGCACATCTTCACAGTGTACAAAAGGATTATTTCACAGCATATGAGAGCAGCTCTTAGTAGCAGAAGCTCGCCCTCCTTGGCTGTCACTCGGGCAATAGGGTCTGTGGTCAGGAGGAAAGCTCTAGATGCCTTAAGCAGCTGGTTTGAATTTTTAAGATTTATTTTCTGAAGCTACTTTTTCTTTGATCTTGATAATCTGTATGTGAAATATCTCTTCTGAAGGTCACCATGCCAGCAACCCAAATGCATCAGAAGTTTGAAAGAAGGGCTGAGGAGACGGCTTAGTTCGTATAGGACATGACATGCAGGCGAGGGAACCTGAGTTCAATCCCTTGAGTCCATGTGAAAAAGCCAATGTTGGTAGAGTGCACTTATAATCCGGCTTTAAGGAGGCAGAGATAGAGGGGTCCCTGAGATTTGCTGGCCAGCCAGCCTAACAGAATCAGCATTTCCAGGCTAGTAATACATCTTTTTTCAAAAAAGAAAAAACCAAAAACACAAAGTGGACAATGTCTGAGGAATGTCAACCACGTTGACTTCTGGACCCATGCACACCTGTGCATATGCACCCAAACACACACACACACACACAGAGAGAGAGAGAGAGAGAGAGAGAGAGAGAGAGAGAGAGAGAGACTTTTTATTGCTATGCTAAAACACTATGATCAGTCACATTCTTTGCTGAAATACCATAATAATGGCCTCTATCTCAGCTAACATTGTTCCTCTCTGAAACCTCTTGGGCACTGCCTGCCAGGCTCCTACTAGAATGTTCCTTTAAGCTCCACTTATGTCGTTCAGCTACTTTCCTAATTCAGAGTTCCAAAATCTTCTCACATTTCTCAAATAAAACCAACAACTTACAAAATAAAGTATTTAATTGGCTTACAATTTCAGAGGATTCAAGTCCATGACTACCATGGTGGGGAGCATGGCAGTCAGATGCTGGGAAAGTAGCTGAGAGCTTACATTTGATCCATAACACAAGGCAGAAAGATGACCGGTATGGGCTTTTGAAACCTCCAAGCTTGCCCCTACTAACTCACACTCTCTGATAATATCACACCCCCTAACGCTTCTCAAGCAGTTTCACCAACTGAGAACCAAGTATTCAAACGTATGAGTCTGAGTGCCATTCTCATTCAAACCAACACACACACACACACACACACGGACCAGAATAGAAATGCATATGTTGTCATAACCCAGAACACTTGTGCTATGCCCACTCTTTCCAATAAAAGAGGAAAAGGGCTCCCTGGGCTTAAGAAGAAATTTGTCATGTGTGTGTACAATATCCAGGAGATTAATAAATGAGCAGAAATATAAAAATGCAAGCAAGTCTGTTCCTTCTGGAGAAGCAGGTACGTGCTCTGAAGAACCAAGAGGCCTTGGTTGCCACCTCAGTTCTTGCTCCTATTAGCTTTGTGAACTCAGGCTTTTACCTGACATCTCTGGACATTCGCTCCTCATCTATACAGAGAGATCTAATTTGTCACACACCATGTAGGTGTGTGGTGAGGGTCAGAGGACAGCAGAATGTTGCATCTAAATGTGTTAAGGTACCTCTTTGCAGCTTCTAAGGTAGAAGTTGCTAAGTGACATCCATCTTAAATGTCGATAATGATTTTACCTTTCAATTTCTAATGTGCTCAGAACATGCATGCTTAAATGCTTTTAGTTTTTCTTTGCACCGTGTTCCACTACGGCACTGCATAAAAATTAAAGCTTACCAGACATTATACATGATGAAGAATGCTTAATAATAGAATAAGGAAGGTTTGAGTTGGATCTTTCTAGATAATAAGTGTAGTGAGAGGGGCCAGCTTGTTGGGGTTTCTGTTCCCGCCTGGTACCTCACAGCCAGCAAGTCCCAGAGAAAATCAATCACACAGAGATCTCTATAAGTTATAAACTGATTGGCCCTTTAAGTCAGGCTTCTTATTAGTCCTTGTAACTTATATTAATCCATTATCATTATCTATGTTAGCCACATGGCTCAGTAACTTTCTCAGCGTGGCAGCTCACATGTTGCCTTTTCGGTGGTCTGGGCAGGAATGGCAGAGGGAGCTTCCTGCTTCCCAGAATATTCCTGTTCTCATCGCCCTGCCTCTACTTCCTGTCTGGTTGACCCACCTATACTTCCTGCCTGGCCAATCGGCGTTTTATTAAAATACATGGTTGGCAGAATACAGATAATTCTCCCACAACAAATAAGGGACAACATACTCTCAGTTTCATTTAGCTGCTTCTCTTATAGACATATTAAGTGGATTTTTTTAAAGAAGAGCAGAAAACATTTTGAACTCTTTGTTCTCTCTCCGCCCTCTGCATTCATCCCACTTAAACGTCCACCTCTGAGCCTGGTGGAAACCTGCGGTGGCGAGTCTGCATTTTACAGGAGGGGCACGCTTAAACAAAGAAATCAGGTCATTTGCCACAGCCACATAACTTAGAAGAGGTTGATTCAAATCCAGCAGAATCTTAACCTCTTGAGCACCACTTTGACTTCCAGGTTTCTTTGGAAACTCCCCTGAGAAAGAAGAGGTGACTGTGTGTGTCACCAGGGTTCATGTGTGAGAAGAGGGACTGGAAGACAATCCTGAGGCCCCCAGGCTGCTCATGTAGTCCTTAGGTCTAGCCTATGTAGGCTACAGAGGTGGTTAGCAGGTGGTCACCCACAGGCCACAGACTTACAGGCAGCAAAACTTGGCAGGGTGCTGCTTTCACAAGTAGCTGTAACTTCACAGCTTTGGTTCCTCCCATGTGCACAGGGACCCCCGGGTTCTTTCGACTTCCTGCTGCTGGTGCTGGCTGACATCCGAAACGACATCACCGAGCTGCAGGAGAAGGTGTTCGGGCACCGAACTCACTCTTCAGCAGAGGACGCCCCTCTACCTCAGGAATTTTCCAGCTACCCGGAGACCCTGGACTTTGGCTCTGGGGATGACTACCCCAGAAGAACTAAAGCAAGAGACTCCGAGGCCCCCAGAAACTTTTATCCATAGCACATCCTGCCTTCATGTCACCAGGAGAAAAGCATGGCTTGGCCCAGTCATAACATCTGAAGAAAGTTACCGCTGAAGGCCTAAAGCCCTTGGGCTGTCTTCCTGCCTTCTCTTTTTATTCTGCTTCCCAAGTGTCCTGCACGTCCCACCAGCAACAGGACACAATGGTTCTTGAGGAGCTGCTGGGTGGCTTTCCTTAACATCCTAGTTTTTTCTGGAGCTTCTGAATTTCTAAGTTCACTGTTCCCACAGAAACGGAAATTTGGACAGAGTTCCAAAAGGGAGAAAATGGCAAAGTGAGCTCTTGGAAGTGTACTAAGGTCCGTTCTAAAAGGAAAGTTATGTTCAAAATACTTGACTATTCACCCTCTGATGTCGGGAGTGTGGCTCTTCAGTTAAGGAGGGGAGGATGTGGGAGGAGCATCATGGAGATCGACGTTGGTTAAAAAAATGACTTTTCCTTTGCAACATCACGGATTCCAAATTCTGAATCCTATTTTTCAGTCTTGTTTTTTTTTTACATATATGTATATTTCTGTAACCAAATATATTGGTTACAGAAACAAAAGAATAGAAAAGAAGTCCAAAATGTACTGGTGGCCAGAGGAGCCATCAGGTCCTGATCCTGGCTAAATCAAGGCTGAAGGGAAGTTGCTGGCCTGGAATCTTGGCAGAGGGTGACAGGGAGGCATTGAGAAGGGCTTCACTAAAGCTAGCTCACCAGAGGCAGATTCGTCTGCTCTTAGGATATTTGGAGTCCTCATCCGGACTCAGCAAATCCAACTGGTGCCCTAGAAATATTGCACAGCTGAGAGGTCTCTTAGATAGAGGAGGGTAAGGAATTGTTTCTAAGCAGGCATAATTTCCCACCATTTTCTCCTGCTTTAGTTGAAATTCCCATCCTAGATCTCCTTGACTCTCTCCTGGACCAGGTAGAGAAGGCTTGGGGAGAAGCACATTCCCCATGTCTCCCTGAGTTCTTTCTAGAGCACTTCTAGAAATCGTGTTCCCAGAAAGGAGCAAGAGGCCAGGTGCCTTCCCTTTCTTTGGGTTCTCTTGAGCTTTCCAGGGATCTTGTTCCCATGGTCACCTGCACTAGGGTCTGTTTACTACCCTTCAGTGTCCCCTCTATTTCTAAGGAGTTTCCCTTTTAGCCCCCATCTTCTCCACCCCCCATGAGACAGCTGGTCAGGAGAAAACTGTTGTTGGGGTTTGCATAACCCTGTACTATCCGTTCTTTTTCCTTAGCAAGGAGAAGGTGTTCTGTCTACAGAGCTCAGGTGGCCCAGTGGGTTTTTGCTTCCCCTCCCAACCCTCTCATGATTCTCTTCCTTCCCTCTCTTTTCTTTCTCTCCCTTTCCTCCTCCCTTCAAAATCCCTTTACTTCTCTTGCTTTCTCCCCTTCCTCCATCCCTGCTTGCCTGCTGGCTGCCTTCTGTCAGAAAGGCAATGTTCCCACCCACTCATACCAAATCCCCAGTGGCTGTCCACCATCAGGTCATGGTTAAGGCAAACACACACTTGCACTGCTTGCTTGCTGTCTCTTCCTCCTTCCCCCTGGGTCTCTCCAGAACCTGAGCACCACCCCAGATGGCCTTGTCAACCGTGGGTTCCTGGGGGAGATCACAACCACAGTCAAGTCCCACCTGGACTCTATTTAATGTTTGCCCTCTTATAGAACCCAGAGTTTAAAGGGTGTGGATGGATGAAGTCTCAAAAATATGCAAGGCTCTATGAGCAATGATTGTGTCCATCTTTTTATGAGGAATTTTATAACCTCTGTTTTTTCTAGACAGTGAAATGTGTGTAGAAACATAATCTTTATTGCTGAATGCTGGTAAAATACAAGCACACTCCACGCTGGGCCAGAGGCCAAGATAATGTACTAAAAGAATAAAGTGCAAGTCATAATAGCTGGGATTCATGAGTCTCTCCTAGATAATTATCTCCAGTAAAACACACAAGAGCCTGTATTTGGTAACCTCAGTCTGCTGGACCATGTCAGTTTGGGTAATCATTACTCCTCAGATTTTCAAACCTTGGACTACTAACTATAAGACCAAAGTATATCCTCTACTTATCGAGAGCATGGGGGGCATTTTAGTGAGAAAGCATTATTGCTCATGTATCTTTTAGTCATGGATAGAAAAAAAAATCAAAGCTTTACTATCTAAGCAAACGTATGCTCAAAATCCCATGGGAAGGCCTTTGGGAGGAAGGACAGTATAAAACAGATTTACTGAATCACTTCATATCTCATGACAAAAATGTTTCATTTTTTAATACCTCTGTCAACCCTTTAGTAGGACTTAGCAATAAATTGCCTCTGTGTTATAAAGAATTGAGAATAAAAACTCACTGACAAAATATAAGGAAGACATGCATTTTAGTTTAGAAAAACTATTCTCCCTTCCCAGTTTCAGAGGGAAAATTAGCTTTCCTATGGAAAAAAAAAAACAAAAGTATTAGGAGCCAGATGCTATGGTATATATCTGTAATCCTGGCACCTGAGAAGTGGAAATAGGCAGGTCAGGAGTTCAAGATCAGCCTCAGCTACATAGCAAGTTTGAGGTCAGTCTGGGCTATACAAGAGCCTATCTCAAAATAATAATAATGATGATAATAATAAATCTAATAATGAGTAGGGTACTGGAGAGATGACTTAGCAGTTTAACGATGCTTGCTACTCTTCCAGAGGGTCAGAGTTTAATCTCCAACTCCTGTATCAGGCAGCTCACAAACTCCTATAACCCCAGTTCCAGGTGACCTACTGCCCTCTCCTGGCTTCTGAGGCATCTGCACTCCCATGCACATATATACACGTAGATACACACAGAGATAATGTAAAATAAAGGCTTTTTTTTTAAAAAAAAAAAGAGTGGGTCCAAAGGAGATGTTGGCTTTTCTTGTTTTCTATGTTACTCTCCAATACAGAATTAACTAAAGTCATATTGTTGTGCAGAGTCCATCATCCAAGAGGTAAATGCTAAGTGCTCGTTGACCTTCAAGGGAGAGGAATATCACCCCACCCAAAGACCAGGTGCAGAGCACCCAGCTAGGTCCAGATAGGTCATGTTGTCTTTCCAAGGTTCTGAACAGCCTTGGCCTTAGGACAGATCTTCTTCAAGACCAGCCATCATATTTCATCTTGGGGGTTTCAGTAAGCAACTCCCCATCTTATTTTGAGCATCATTTCCCTCCTCTTCCTTTATCTCGGCTTATCTCACAGAGACAGCCTTGGCCACCACCTCCCGCAAGCCGCAAAATGATCTGCCAGGCAGCTTTTCTGAAGGGGAAAGTTATTTGCTGAAATCTGAGCCAAACAATTAGTAGAATAGAGCCGCCTAAAGTTATCGGTCATGTATTCAGGAAACAGATGCATTGTATCCAACACAGTAATTACATATGTTCACAGCATTTCACAGTTAATTTTCTATTGGGCTAAGAAAACAAGGGCTGCAAATGTTACAGATGAAATGACATGCTTTATATACTTCTGCAAATGTTACCATCACAGAGAAACCATGGAAAGGGCGATGGGGCTACACACCCCTCAGGAAGCTCAGCACGTTTTGTCAGATTCCCAGAGGTTGGTCCCTGAGGGGTTCATAGTCCGTTTTGACTTCCCAGTGACTGGTCATATACTTCACTATCTTTGTCCATTATTTATATCAGATATATATCAGTCAAATTGATATTCCAATAGTCATGGATGTAATACTATGAAGTGCTTTTGTATGACTATATATGCTTAATAACAAAGTTATTTTTCTTACGTGGTTCTCCTGTGTTTTGTCCTGGTAAAAGGAGCCATCCCCTGGCCAACTGAATATAGAGCATCCATTACTTTCTTGTTGTATGTCAAAATATCTATATGAAACAAGAAACTTAAGAAAGCCCTTTTGTCTTGTTTCGTTTGGGTTTTGGGTTTGTTGTTGTTGTTGTTTGGTTTTGTTTTCTGTTTATGGCTTGAGGCACACTTCACCATGGTGGGGAAGTCATGGCTGCATGGTGTCATGGTAGCTGATGACACTGTATTTTCTCTCAGGAAGCAGAGACACATGCTTCCTTGTTGATTTTTGGCCTGAGAAGTGAGTACCTGTCTATCTGTCTCCTTTCTACATTAAGGGAACCTGGGAGGGCTGAGGAGACTGGCTGGTAAAATATTCACCACATAAGCAAGAGCATTGCACTCAGATCTCCAGCTCCCAAGTAAAAAGTCAGGTGCTATAGTAAGTGTCTGTAACCTAGCACTGGGGAGGCCGGGGCAGGAGGGCACTTGGGGCTTGTTCCAGGTTCAGTGAGAAACCCTATTTCCAAAAATAACGTGGAAAATGATTGAGGAAGACACCCTTTATTGACCTTTGGCTTCCATTTACATGCATTCATTCACACATCCACACCGATATGAAACACACGCACACACACACACACAGCCATTGGGAACAAGAACTTTGCTTTTCTCTGTTGGGCATCTGCACAATTCTCCAGCAGACAGAAAGAGCTTAATAAAGTAGATTTAACTACAGCTCACTCTCCATGAAACCCTAAAGCCGGAGCCTTTTTGATGCCACACACACTTCCTGAGAAGTAAGTTATCTTGTCAAATACCACAAAGCTAAAAAAACATCTTTCGTAAGGTTATATTTCAGAACATGCAAGAATCACTGTGTTTGTTGATTGTGTAAACATAGCACAATCATACACACATTTTCCCCACTTGGGAATCACATAAAAGGCCTCTATGGTGCAGAAGGTAACGAAAGAAGGTGTATCGACACAGGGCCCTTGCTTCCCAAGGCTACTCTGCACTAGGTGTTGCGACCGACAAATGCATAGGTAAAGCTGTTAAGATTGTCTTCAGTGGCAAGGAAAAAAAAAACCAGCAAAGTCAATACAGTTCCTCCCCAAAGGTTACTTGCAGTCAAGACTCAAAAAGGAGAAGCAGAGTAGATTTAACAAATGGTCTAATCCAAGGAACACACACAATGGTTTGGGATATTTTTAAGTCAACTCCTTACTAATAGCCATTGCCAGCATATTTCACTTTGAGCTGTGTGCAAACGGTGGGGACTCTGAAGTGTGTTCTGATTCTGTCTCTGCACAGGGCTCTTACTGAACAGATAGGACTCTGGTGGGTGAACCTGATAACGGGGAAATGCATAGCGGCCTTGAGGAACGACCAATCAGATGTTAACTTGAGTGATTTTCAAAGGCTTTCTTAGCATGACCCACTGAGAAAGTATGGTTTACACAACATGCCAAGGCGTGCCCTTGTATACCTATAACTGAAGCAAACATTTTGTGATGTTTACTCTCACCATATAGTCTCATGTTCTCGTCACACGGCAGTTTTTAATTTGGGTCACGCCCCTGAGTTATCCTCACGACTCACTGATGGGTGGTAGCCCATAACTCGAAGACCACCTGACTCAATCAGCCCCCTCAAGCTCAGCGGTACACGCTAATCAGTTGCAGACCTTTATGAAAATGAAGACTGACCAAAAGGGTTTGAGGTTTGCATTCTTGCGAGCTCCCAAGGGATGCGATGTGTTCGTGGAATGAGCTCGGTGTAGCCAAGACTCGTCTCTCCCAGGGATGTGGGCTCTGAATTGCACACAGCAGGGCACAGTAAGATTAATTCACAACTCTGCTGGGAGCTCACATATGGCTGGGATATCCAGATCACTCAGTCCCTTCTACCGCTTTAAAAAATTGCATAGTTAGCCCCATGTCTGTGGATTCAATTGAAGACCTAAAATAGTGAGGGAAACATTTTGTGTCTGTACTGAATATGTGCGGACTTGCGGAAGCCCTCCTCTACGCAGTGCAGTTACTTACAGAGCATTTCACTGTGCTGGGGTTGCAAGTCATCTAGAAATACAAAGTCTATAGGTGCATGTGCACCACTTTTAAAGCTTATTTTCATTTATATATGTGCATGTGCGTCTAGGTGGCTGTATGTCATGTATGTACAGTGCCCTCAGAGGCCAGAAGAAACGTCAGACCCATCAAGCATAGGTCCTGAGCACCAAACTCAGGTCCTCTGGAAGAGCTGAGCTACCTCTCTAGCCTCAAATAAACCACTTTCTTTTATAAAGCACCTGAAAATCCACAGAATCTTGGAGCCAAAGAGGAGGTTGTTAGGGCCAATCCCTTGAGGAATCCCTAGAAACCGGAACATCTTAAGACACCAAGAATTAGAACTTTTCTGGTAGGCTGACACGGTGGCACACACCTTTAATCCCAGCACTCAGGAGGAAGAGGCAGGCAGGTCTGTAAGTTCAAGGCCAGCCTGAGCTACATAGTTAGTTCCAAGACAGCCAGGGCTACAATGAGAAACCATCTCAAAAAAAAAAAAAAAAAAAAAAAAAAAAACGGAAACGGGGGGGGAGTAAAAGAGCTTCTCCAGTAACTTTTTTTTTTTTAATAAGGAATAGAGTTATAGCAGCAAAGTGAAAGACTGTGTCCCTATGGGGGAGGTGGAAAGATAGCAAACATGACCCTTGTTCTATTAATTGACTCTCGCCAACCTGGGCCCTGGTCTCGCCACAGCCACTAGTATTTTGGAGGCTGACTCACAGAGTTAAAAGGGCCATAACAAAGTCCACAGAGCAAGTTGACCCTAATAATCTGGATTTGTCCATTGCACCTGCCTGGTGTTAATTACCCCAGCTTCCCCTGATGTTCCTGATTCTTCTCCATCTTGGGCCTAGCTGACTACTTAGGTTCTGGGTTAACCCAGCCCCAGTGTCTTCTGCTGCTTTCTGTCCTTCTCTGCCTCTAACATCCCTACAGCATCCCTGGGAAAGGGAGCCAGTGGGAAAACGACGAAGTCAGAAGGAACGGTCATATTTTGCGATCGCTTTTGTGGTGTATGGGGATGGTTTTTAAACTATAGGTGAGTGTCCTTGACTCTGGCTCCCGAGCAGTAACACAGCGGCACAGAGCGCCTGCCCTGACTCATCTTAGAGGTTGCTGGGACCTTTCTAAATGAGTCTTCTGCAGAGAACGTGCAGCCTTCCGCCTCGTGCCATGTGACAAAAAAAACACATCATGTGGAAGAAATACTTTCTCCCATGTATTGACAGGATCACTCATCGACAATTTAGTAAAAAACCTCAGCCCAAACCAGCTAATCACATACATTAAACGCAGAGAGCCATCTGTGGACAATTTGTCTTCTGGAAAAGAAAAGGTGCCACAAATTGAATTAGGCACAGATTATTCGGGAAGAAAACGACAGCTGGAAAATATTCTGAAAAGCGATTCCTTCAAAGCAGTCTTCCAGGGCACCAGGCAAATGCATTTCTTCTTCCAAGTTTTCTTCTACTAACATTGTTAAGTGCTGAGACCCAAGTCTACCCGTCAGATTGATAAGAGTTTTGTCTACAAATATCTCCATTATACGGGATGAAAATCTTTGATCTGATTTGATCTGGGTATTCCAAATACATGAAACTGGGCCCCAGCAACACATAGGAACTATTGCAGTAGAAATATGTCTGGGTTCTGGGTCAACACTGTGCTTTCTCTTCGCTCTGTGGAGGAATCGGTGACTTGGTCTGAGCCTACATTGCCACTGGCTTACCCCATGGTCACTACACCTGAAGTTGCATGCCCATGACTGGGCCATCAGCAGATGGAACCAGATGCCGCTGTTCCTGCTTTCTCTCCTGCACTAAGTATGACCTTGCAGGCTCAATAAAATCCACAAGGCCTGTTCAGGAACTGGAACTATCATGTTGAAACCAAATTGTGTTGTAGTCGCAAGGCAGGGAACAAAACTCACCAGGAAGCCCCGAATTCTAAAGTTAAGTTCAGAGGACAGCGAGGAGCTGATGAACGAACGGCTTCTGTGCAGAGTTCTCTCTCTCTCTCTCTCTCTCTCTCTCTCTCTCTCTCTCTCTCTCTC